TGGGAGGAGATATGAAGGAGAAGTAAAGGTAAGAATAGTTAGTCACAAGTTCTAGACAGGGAACCAGGAGAAATAGAATAGAGTGAATTTTAAATGTCCAAATCAAAGTCCATTAGAATTTCTTGGTGAAGGCTTCCAAAAGCATCATCTATTGGGTTCCTCCTCATTTTTCTTTTGGCTGGACTCCGGATCTGCTTTTCAGGCACTTGATGACTATTGCAGTGGCTAGAGTCACAGTTTGAGTTGCCTCTCAAATGGCTTCTAGACAGGGAGAAAGAAGAAATTTAACCATTATTTAGTTTTCAGATAAGAATAGTAGGTTTGTCTTTTTTGGCCTCAAGTAAGTCTGCAATGATGAACTAGGCCAAGATTTGAAGTCCTATATCTGAGTAGTATTTTTATCATGGAGAAAAATTTAGAATTTTGTAAATAACATCTCATATGAACTTTGGGCCTAACATCTAGGAAGTCCAACTTTTCAGACTCTAATGGAACTATATTGATCGTTTTAATTTTTGGTTATACTTTCCTTTTGAGTGTTTAAGACCATAAAGTTGGCCCAAATAAATCAATTTATTTTTACACTTAAGGTCATTTGAGGATCTGTTCCTCAGGGGTCACATAGGCTTGGGAGGAGCTCCTGGCTCATTTCTTTTACCAGTTCCATCTATGTGAAGATAAGTCAAAGGTCGTGCTCAACCATGTCTGGCTTTACTTGGAAGTATGAATGACATGTTTCCTCTGAGTTGACCCTCCTCTTTGTAGACTGGACACTGGTTCAAGTCCATCTCTTGGGGTCTCCATGGCCTCCCTGAACAAGAGGACAGGTGACTGACTCACCACAGTTACAGAACATTTTGAGGGATGTTCCCTAAGCCCCGGAACTTAGTCAACTTCGGAGGGCAAGGGCCAAAAACCTGTCCTTTAAGTCCCTCTGACCACATTAGTATAGGCCTCAATCTAAACATCCAATAAGGTTAATGGAACTTAAACATCCAATAAGGTTAATTCCGCCAGTCTGGTACTTTTAATTATCATGTGCTATGTAGATAAAGCTTAGGTAAAAAACCAAATATTCTCATATAAACCTTGACTAGATATATATTTTGTCCCTTATACTAGTTGACTAAACTATGACCATACAAATTTTAAGATTATGTGTGTATTATTTTTGTCTCATCCTTTATATATCATAACAAACCTACAAAGCCAATCACTTGCTTAGGCTTCTTCATATTTTATGCCTATTTTGGAAAATATTTCAATTCCCATATCCTTTTAACATCTTTTACATTTTCATTTTCTTTTTTAAAAAATAATTATGAGACATAGTAGCATTAACAAATAAATTTTCCATCTGTTGTGAGATTTTTTTTCCTGGGGATGCTAAGCAATGCTTATTCCCTTTTAAGTTTCCAGTGTCAAGCCAATGTTTGGTTAAAGTTTTACTGGGGAACCAATGAATTTATTGAGCTTATTTACTGAGATAACTGAGGGGTTGCTGAGTTGTGTGTATGACCTGAGGGTACGCACACTGGAAAGCCTTTATCCAGCATGGGTCATGCCTTCTCTTCCTAGCCTTCCCCAGATTGTATACTTTAGCCCTCCCCAAATCCAGGAGGTCATGTGTGATCAGGGCCAAATTACATACAGTTGGTTGGGAAGAGTGGCTGGACAATCCGGTGAGGGTCCAATGACCATGCTTGGCAAGAGATGGAATCAAAATTGAGGCTGCAACAAAGAGCTGATGGTCCACAGAAAGTATGACTTCTCCTGGGATTACCACCAAGAACCAACCAATGAAAAGCCTGATGCTCTTCAACTTCCTATGGGAGTTCCTACTGAGCAATTCCAGGGGAAGCCGTGACAAGGAAGCCTGGAAATGTAGGTGTCGACCTGTTCCCCACCATCATGCACACTGGGGAAAAGGCAAGGCAGAAAATCTGATAGTACTCATGAGCTGCAGAGGATGACGTGATTTAGCAATCTGAGGATGGGCATTGAATCTGGGAGCAGGGATGGGAGGTACAGGTGGTTTTCTACTATACTGGTTAGTACTTGGTTCCTCAATCATTTTCTTTTTTGGTCCTTTTGAGACAAGGTCTCCCTGTAACCACAGCTGCCCTGGAACTGACTATGAGACCAGGCTGACCTTGAACTAACAGAGATCTGCCTGCCTCTGCCTCCTGAGTGCTGGGATTAAAGGTGTGTACTACCACGCTATTTCCTTTTCTAAAAGCATTTGTAACAAATGTAGCAAAATGTTAGCATTATTAAATTTGAAAGATGTGTAGCCACATGGCCATTATGTTCCTCGCTATTTCTAGATAACTGGATCTTCCCTAAGAAATGCTATGGGAAAAGGATATGTCCCAGATTATTGGCAATAATATTTTTCATGTCCAGACTCCCCCACTTCCCACCCTTCCCCCAGGAATGCCCTTTGTGGATTCACAGGCTCTGCCAGCAGCAGCACTGACTTTTTGGCATGATGGCATGTTAAAGGCAAGGGGGAGAGGAAGAGGAAACGGTTAAGATAGTTACAGGGACAGAGGAGGGAAAGGGCCAGAACACTTCAAAGAGGGCATCAAATTGCATTTAATTTGGTTTAGCTGGGTGGCCACAAGCAAATTCTTGCCCTCCTCATGCTTACACGATAAGAGTTCGGGGTTGGAGAGATGGCTGCACAGGTAAGAGCACTGGTTACTCCTGCAGAGGCCCAAGGTTCAGTTCTCAGCATCCACATGGCAGCTAACAACTATTCGTAACTCCAATTTCAGGGGAATCCAACACCCTCTTCTGATTCCTCATGCATTGCACAATACAGGTGCACTCTACACACATGCAGGCAATACACTCATACACATAAAAATAATAAGTAAAATATTTTAAAAGTTGGACCTAATGATTTCACACATTCCAGAGTGCTTCAAACTGTGATGGGCATCATTGTTACTGTTATTTTTATTATTTTATCTTTACATCCTTAGTGTTATCAGAGTTCCTGGTGTTTGACAAACATTTGGTCAGATCAGAGCAGTGAAATAAATTGTAGTTCGCTTCCCTGAGTCACATTTCCATGGAACAGTCTACCTGTGGTTGGTCACCAGACTTAAATACAGCATCACCTAGATTTTGGCCTATATCAAGGCAAGCACAGGATGATGTCAGCCAGCCATGGCTAAAATAGGGCTCAGGAGGAGTGAGCTGTACATCAGCAAGTGTGTGGGGTCCACTCAGCGATGTCATCAGATGATGCAGCTTCAGTAGTCTGCATTGTAAGGAAACTCTTCCATATTGGTCGTCCTGCAGCAACAAGCACCGAGAACAATGTTCTTAGAAGCAACAAATGCCATCTAATAGGCTTTTTTAAAGTCAGGGTCTTATCTATCCCAGGGTGGCCTTGAACTCATTATGTAATGAATGACAACCTTGAACTTATGTCATGCCTGCCTCTGCCTTCTGAGTGTTGGGATTAGAGGCATATGCCACCAGGACTGGTTTTATGTGCTTCTGGGGACCCAACCCAAGGCTTAGTGCATACTAGCAAGCACTTTACCAACTGGACCACATTCCCAGCCCAGGCATTCTTATGTGGTATACTAAACTGTCTACGTGCATTCTCAGCCTCTCCCTAGTGCACCCCCTGAGACTATGACACAAGAGAAGGGACCTTCCATCAAATTGATGAGAGGGGTATTTGAGAAAAGGCAGGGAAATAAGCAGTGGCCGGGTCACCAGAATAAGTCATAATGAAGAATCCTAAGGAACCTGGCACACAGCCAGGTGCCTCATTAGTACTGTTTCAATTCATTCTCATATTACTGTGAGGAAGGGAAGAACACTGAAATGATGAGTTGGTTATTGTATTAAAGAAGATAATATAGGGTCTAGAGAGACGGCTCAACAATTAAGAGCACTGGCTGCTCTTGCAGAGAACCTAGGTTCGATTTCTAGCACCCACATGGTGGCTAACAGCCATGCATAATTCCAGGGGATTAAACGCCCTCGTCTGGCCTCTTTGGGTATTGCATGGTATGGATGCACTTACAAACATGAAAGTACTATACACATAAAACAAAAATAAATAAATATTTTAAGAAAGGAGATAATCAGGCTATGAGCTAAGACTCTTGATAAATATTAAACTAATATTCAAGGATGTATGCTATAATTATAATTATTCCTACTTTGTAAATAAAGAAACCAAATTGAAGTTACCAAATCAACCCAAGGCATCATAGCCAATGAATAACTGGCAGAGATTGTATTACAGGCCAGCGAGGCTTACTTTGGTGCTAACCAATCCATGACTTCCACTCATATATGCAATTTCATGTGTTGTTCCCATTAAAGGCCCAACAAGCATCACAGACATATCTCAAACCAAACTTCTGACTTCTCCTAAATGGCAATTCTGGTCTCGAGTTGCTCAAGCAAAAACAAACCAAGTAAACAGAGATCATTGCACTGTTATTGTGTTGGCAAATCCGGTAGGCTCTGTTTTCCCATTTATCCAGAATCTAGTCTTCCTCATTTCCTCCACCAACATGACCCAGGTCCAATGAGGGTCAGCTCTTTCCCCAAATTATTCTAGTAGGCTCCCTGCATCTCCCAATGCAGAAGTCAGTGTGGCTCTTTTGAGACATGTCAACTCATGCCATCTTCTGCTCAGAATCCTCTCATGGCTTCTCAGCTGCTTGAGAGCTAAAATCCAAGTTCCTCCGTGGTCTACACCACCTGTGTGCCCTTAGCCTACGGTTGTGTCAGACTTCATTTCTTCTTACAGTAGCCCTCACTCCAGAGGCTTCACTGTCCTTACTCAAGCCCAGTCTCTGGGCTTTTTCACCTCCTTCTCTCATTGCCAAGAATGCTATTCCTCTAAATATAGGTCCTGGGGCTTGTCCTTCACTTCCTTCATCTGTCACTCTATCCACAAAACTGCCCCTGCATCATCACACAGGAAGCGTCAGTTCCACCAGAACCCAGTATTTCCTGTGCCTTTTACCCTACTCCTACTCTAGTTTTTGTTACTCTCTAATGTATATATTTGGACTCATTTCCACTATCCCCTTCTAGAACATGACTGGAAAGCATGAAGTTTGCATAGTGTGATACTCCAAACACCTAGAACATGACTGGCCCACAACACATTACAAAGAAGTCATTGAGTGAGTGATTAGATGAGTGCTCTGCCTCCTACGGAGCAATGGCACAGCTTTTCTTAAAATCTTAGCTCTATGTGCAAGGTTCAGAAAGTGAGCAGCAATTGATAGTGTTTCTCAAGATTCTCCAATGCAAATTTTACATTTTCACAACTGCCAGAAAATAGTATTTAAGGACAAAATTACACCAGATGTCTTCCAACCCTTGAAGCTAATTCTGCACAACTTTAGAAAACACCTCTGTAACCCTATACCACTTACTCAGGCAGCAAACAGGCCCTCCAGTTTCTGTTGAAGCTGAGAATGGCGGCCATCTCCTCATCAGTCAGCTGGAAGTCAAAGACCTGTATGGGCAAGAGATCCAAAGCATCCTTAGGAAGTAAAGGTCTGGGATGGGAAGCTCTTGGCATTTCCTCCCTTAGGTCCAGAATACACACTTTTGTATACATTGTATACATTAGGGTTCAGTGTTCCAAAAAATGAGAGATTGGACTTATAGGCATGAAACCTCAGTGTGTGCAGTCTGTGATCCTTGAAGGACACATGGATTCTTCCAGGAGACATTTCACCAAATCTAGTCCAGACCTCTCCTGCAAACAGGTGGGTATGTAGGACTGGGCAGTCTACTCTTGGGAGGACAGTCTAGGACCCCTGATCTACATGTATAAGGGTATATCAGGCTCTTCTCAGTGGTATAAGGCACAGTTGTGCTCAGTCTTGACAGGCCTTCTCAGATCCTGCTCTCAGCCCATTACTGGCTCACTAGTGATTCATCTCTGGCCTGTTGAGGCAAGCTCCCTGGCCTAAGATTCATAAGATGACCAGAAGAGAGGATACACTGACAATGCAGGGACTGGATGAGATGCCTGTGAGGACTCTCCTGTCATCTGCTCCACTGGGGACTATCAGACAATCAGCCAGGATCTTACCTGAAAGTTCTCACGTATGCGTGAGGGTGTCACAGACTTGGGGATCACCACCACGTTCCTCTGGATATGGAACCTAATCAGGACCTGTGCAGAAAGAAGGGAAGACGTGTCCACTTATCTACAAGGCCCCCTCCATTCTAGTGGAAAGAAGACTGTCTCTGTCTCTCCTTTTGGCTTTAGCTACAACAGCTAATATTAACTGAAGACTTCACTATTAGGGGCACTTGCCAGTCGTCTTATCCCCCTTAATCCTTAAAGAAACAGCATAATTTCTCTAGCTAAGAATGGGGGCTCAGCAGGAAGCCAATGGGCAGAGATGGTCCTTATTTCATTGATACCAGCTGTATTTGCAGGAGATTCCAAGAGATTTACAAGTCCTATTTCGTCTTCTCCAGGGTATTATAAAAAGGCAACACAAATAAAACACAAGACTACAAGAATGGATTTATAGATTTAAAAAGGAGGAAACCACTCCATTTTACCTGGGCTGATGTTTTCTTGTGCTTTGTAGCAATCGCTTTAATCTTTGGATCCTCCAGTAGTGAAGGGTCCTCTGGCTTGGCCCTAGAGGTGGAAAGATGGCTGGAGTGAGTAATCACATTGGCTACCACGGAGCATCACTCCCATGGCAGTAAAAACGCTGAGCATCACAGTCTTCTTGGTCTGTGAGGCAGGCAGAAGAGACACCACCAGAAAGCTTTGTGTCTTTCCTGTGGGCCCTTCCATGGGCTCAGGAGCCTCAGCAATTTGTTAAGGCTTCTCTGGCATTGGAGGACAGAAATAGAGTATTCTTTTAAATTTTGTATTTATTTTTTAATTTTTTATGTACACGAGTGCTTTGCCTGCATGCATGTAAGTGCACCCATGTCTTGCAATTCCTGCAGAGGCCACAAGAGGGTGTAGGACCCTGGGAACCAGAGCTACAGATGACTGCTAGCCACCATGTAGGTGCTGGGAACCAAACCCAGATCCCCTGCAGAGGCGGCCAGTGCTCCCAGCCACTGAGCCATCTCTCTAGTCCCCAGAAATGGAGTATTCTTAAGAGAATGAAACATGCTGTCTTTTTTTTAACATTGTTTCTCCCCCCAAGTCCATTTGTGTATGCCATAGACATAGTTTTCCCAAGTGCCTAACAAATTTATAACAATATTATCCAATTATGAAACACTAATTTTAAGAATAAAAAAACAAAAAGCCATCATTCGGAAGCCTCACCAAGGTCTATCTGGAGAGCCCAGGGGGCTGTAGGCCGTGACAGTGATGCCCTTGGAGTGGCAGTACTGGATCAGTTTGTCCTGGGTGAGGTATGGGTGGCACTCGACCTGCAAAGGTAAACAACTCCATCACTAAGGAAGTTGGCTTGTTTTTTGAGTGGCTCAGAGGGAGTTCTACATAGGAAAAGACCACCATGCAAAATCCAAACACAGTCTGTTGTAGACTTGCTACTGATCAGACCCAGAGATCTGTCTCCCACATCCCCATGCATCCTGAATACTGATCCCTGAAATGTGACTCAGTACATAGCACTAAAGGTGCTTCCAAATGTTCAAGTAGTCAGAGAAAGACCCATTTTGCCAAATAGAATTTACCTGATTGGTCACTGGTTTATGTTTCAGTCCAGGTTTGTTCAGGATCCTTTCAATCTGGAAGTGGTTGAAGTTGGAGATGCCCAAGGCTTTCACTAATCCCTCATCCACCAGTTCTTCCATAACCTGTCATAGAAGGAATGTCTTTTTGATGGTTGTAGACTATACAGATGCTGGCTTTTGTTAATCCTGCGATACGAGGAATGGATAAAGGGCCCACCAGGTAGGTGAGTTACAGCACAAGGAAGAAATCTCAGTCCCACAGTGGATTCCCATCAAGGGCTGATTTCAGCCTCACTTTTCTTCCCTAGGCCAAATGTCACTAGTATTGAAAGGTGAAGGTTGTGTGTACTTTATGTCTCACCCCATCCAAACCCTGGGTGACTCGGTCATCTGGGAAAGAGGCTGTAGCCTGTGTAAGTGCACCTGTGTCATGCAATTCCTGTGGAGGCCAGAAGAGGGTGTCGAGTCCCCTGGAACTGGAGTTATGGATGGTTGAGAGCCATCATATGAATGCTGGGAACTGAACCTGGGTCCTCTGCAGGAGCAGTCAGTGCTCTTAACCACTGAGCCATCTCTCCAGCCCCCTTAATTCAATTTTGAAAATGAACTATGCAAAGCAGGATTATTTGATTTTTAAAAGCAAGGTGCTTGTCTTTTCTGATGTCTATATATGTGTTCCTGTTTGACAAGCACTGTGCTAAAAGTTTTGGTAACTAGACTTGTAAGTCAGATAGACCTAGGTTCATTCTCAATTGTGTTATATCCTTGCTCCATAATGATTTTATTATTTGTATGTGGGGAAAGTAACATTTCCTCACTGATAACTCACAGGCTCTGTGGTTAAAGTTCTAAGTGTTAACTATCTTAATCCTTACAACATCCTGGAGGATACATATTAGTGGCATATATTATGTGAATTTTAAAAATAATATACATATATACATATATATATAATGTGTGTGCATGCATGTGTGTTCATGTGTGCAGGCATGTGTATTTCACTGCAAGTGTGAGGATGTCAGATCCCTGGCAGGCAGATAGGGAAAGGTCCACTGATAAGCAACAGAAGTGGAAAACTTCAGGCTTCTACCTCACTGGAGATAAAAACTTAGCAGGCTTTTTCTCCCTCCGGGTAGACCCTCTCCTGACCAGTCCAGAACAATCCAGAAAAGTCCAAGGTCAGTCCTGGACACACCTCAGCTAGAAGCTGTGACCTGTCAGCACTTTCTTCTTTAAGTAGACCAATCTAAAATTAGGTGTGAGGGGGTGCGGGGGACACATTCACCAAAAGCACTTGAAAGACAGAAGACCTCCTAGGGGCTTTGGATTTCGATTTCTGAATCCCCGCTTCACTTGTGGAGAGCTTTTCTCTGTGTGAGCATGAGAGAGAGAGAGAGAGAGAGAGAGAGAGAGAGAGAGTGTGTGTGTGTTCCTTTGCTTTTAATAAATCTGTTGTCGTCTCAACAAAGATTCTTGTTGCCTCTTAATTCTTTAACTGGCAGAGAAAATGAACCCAATCAAGACCCCTTATCGGTAACAAAAGGACAATGTTGGATGTTGTTCCTCAGTCTCTACCCTGTTTTTAAGCTCTGTGTGTGCCAGACTAGGATTCTAGGGATTCCTGTCTCTCCCTCTCACCTTCAAGCACTTGATGACAGATGCCACCACACCTGGCTTTACTTGGGCTCTGGGAACCTGAGCTTAGGCATATGCAACAAACACTTCACCCACTGAGCCTCTCCCAACCGGTGTTCTATCTTTAGATGAGGAAACTGGCTTGAGTTTTTAAAAAGCCCTTAGGTTATTCAGCTAATATGTGCAAATCAGGACAACATTCCTGAACCTAGTGCCTCCCCCTCGGGTTTCAGGACAGCGTAAGTTTACCTGAAACTAAGGAACACTACTATATTTCCTGCCGCATCTGAGGTCCTAATCACCTTAAAATGTCTATGATGGCAGGTGAAACTCAATCCAAATGTGGCGCAGAAGGAGCAGGAACTGGAGAAGAACAGTGACGGAGTGACACACAAAGCCACAGGCCTTTTCATAGCAGCACAGAGATCTAATGTACACCCAGAAGAAGCTGGAACCTACCTCCCAGGCATCCAAGAATGTTATTTTACTGGTGAGAATATTGCCTTTATCATCTTTGGGGAATAACTCCTTTCCCCTGGGCTGTAAATACAAAACAAAAAGCTCATTGGAATCTGCATCGGGATTCCTGCTTTCAAGGACAGAGAAACACCATATACCCACTAGCATTTGGTCAAGCTCTGAAGAACACCTACAGACAGCAAGTTTCAATAAAATCTGTTTTTATCTACTATGGTGTGTAAATCCTAGATTTCAGAAACTGCTGGGCTGGTTTCCACATCTGGTGTTAGTATATTGTAGAAGCCATCATTTTCACATGAAAATTAACCTCACATACCCAGACCCACATAAACTTGAGGGAAATTTTAATTTCAAGATTACTTAGGCAAGGGCTAGAGTTGAAGGATATGGATTGCTGGGGAAGATAGCCATCAGCTTCTAGCCTTACAGCCTCCAGAAGGCTGGAGTTTGGGACAGCTTTCATCACTAGCTATTCATTACAGCAGAGCTCCAGGTATTGAGCAGGGTGTTCTGGCTACTTCTCAGTATCATCCTACTTGGGTTCTGCTCCAGGATGCCACTGTCTGGGCATGCCCTGAAATACATTATGCAACAGCAGTCCTAGGGATGCTTTGAGAGGACAGCAGCCCTAGGGATGCCTGGACACAGAATTGATAGGAGGGTGACAGGTCTACCCCTACCCTTTACCACAGCCCTGGCACCACTGCTATTTTCTGGCGTTTGCCTAGCAGCTAGAGATGGGGAAGAGAGCAGTTCAAACCTGAAGTCCTTGTGGCCAGTGAATAAGATAGAGGTCCAGATAGTCTAGTTTCAGATCTGTGAGGGTCTTCTGGAAGGCTTCCTTCAGCAGTTTTCTCTCAAAGCAGGTGGGCCATAACTGTAGAGTGTGACAAAGAGGCATTAGAACTGGGGAGAGAAATGGCCACGCCATACTCATGATCCCTGCTTTGAAATTTGCAGCCTGATCTAACCCCAGGACAGGTTATTTGTACCTAACAAAACTGGCTAATTAATATACTTGACTGAGTACCAAAGGTCTCCAGGGCTCAGAAAGTCAAGCCGTTTCCTCAATGCTGAGGGATTTAATTTTTCCATGTACATAGCATTCTATTTGTTGAATAGATCATTTAGCCTATTTGGCCACTGGTTAAATATTTATGTGCCTGTGTTATTCACTTCTTAGCTGTCTGCTCTTTGAGGGCAGGAATTGTGTTTAGCTTTTAAATTTCAAGCATTCTGATGCTATTAGGGATACTTCTATATCTTCAGGCTAGCAGGCCCTAATGGTGCATTACAAGGAGTTTATTCGTACATGGCCACTCTGGACAGGTGATCTGTTTGTCATACGAGGTGCATTTTCCAATGGAAACTAGAGTATATCAGCAAGTTATGTAAGATACATAGGCAATGATTGTCAATAACATAACTTTACATGCTCCCTATTCTTCTTTTAATAACCTTTTATTATAATTTATCTTTCACTGAATTGAAATGAAAAGTGATTCCTATGTGACAATTTTTTTAATGCTCCCACCATTTTACAAAATACCCGTGTCTATAAACCTCACTGAGACCACAGTGCTGAGCAGTGGGGCTCATGATCTATTCCTGACTGTTCCCCTAGCCTCTCACTGGGTAGATGAATCCCACTGACAGAAAACATAGATGTCAAGGGCACCAGGATCTCAACAGAGCCATTTCCACTGTGGGAAAATCAAACCAAACATAGGAGAGTAGACTAACAGCATCTTCTTACCAGTACAAATTTGGGGTGTGGGTATTTGTATACAGGGGTATAATAAAGGTAAAGAAGAGGGCTTGGAGAATTATAGGCACATAGGAAAAGCTGGGCATAGACCAGACACTTCAGGACCTTGAAGTCCTATCCACCCAGTGGGCTGTGAGTACCTTGCTCACAATGAAGAGGTCCTCCCGCTTCACAACCTTCTCTTTGATCTTCTCTTGGATGGCTTCTCCCACCTCGTTCTCGTTCTGATAGGTATACGCACAGTCAATGTGGCGATATCCAGTGTCAATGGCCACTTTCACTGCTTCCTTGACTTGGCCTGGGGGAGACTGAAAGGCAACAGAAAAGACCATCAGATGCTCTTATACCAAGACCACCCTCAACAGGTTTCACAGAGCCCAGCATCTCCAAATCATAGTCTCACTGGGGTTCCATTTGCAAGGAGATATTTGGGAGGATAGCATACTCTGGAAAACTTTTTAAGAGGAAAGAAAAAGTGAATTGATTGTATAATTATCACCCCACATTCCTAACTACAAACTGGTTCCCCTCTAATCCACCTTGGTTGGGAAGTGTGTCTATTTGCCTGGGGGTGACAGATGGCTCTTGGTGCAACTTACAAAAGGCTAAATTCGACTCTGAAGTGACAGAAATTTCAGACCCCACACAGTGATAAGGATCTAGAAAGTGACCATTACAGGATAAATCTGAACTCTATGACATAACACTGTATAAGGCTGACCAGAATCCTCGGTCTTTAAACTCTTACTACAAAATAGGCACAGTAACAGCTTGTGCCACAAGGGGAAGTAAAGTTTTTAGTACATCGTCTGAAGGTCAGGATCATTAGATGCAATCCAATAGATAACCATTGTATTAGAAAAGAACAAATAGGAAACTTTCTAACAACAAAATTTCTTTTCCACTAACAAGAAAAAGAAAGAGAAAAAAAAAGAGCATTTGAAATACTGCATTCTGATCTACCCTAGCCAAGTCAGACACTGGACTGGGAAAATAAGCACTTAAAATTCATCTCTCAGTAGAGTGGAGTGGCACATGACTGAATCCCAGCACTAGGGAGACGGGGGCAGGAGGATCATGAGTATGAAGCCAGCCCAGGGCATGTCACTGTCTCATTAAAATAGGAGCAGTAATAAAATAATAATAATAATAATAATTAATAATAATAATAATAATAATAATAATAATAATGGAGCCAGCGAGATACCTTATCTAGTAAAAAGCACTTCTACCTGTTGGAAGAAGAAAAAGGACTCCCACAAGTTGTCCTCTAACCTTCATGTGTGCACTATGATACATGCATGCCCACACATACACACAAGAAGTAGATATAATTAATTGGCCCGGGCTTGTAATCTCTGTAGTCGGGTGGCAGAGGCAGGAGGATTTGTGAGTCTGAAACAGCCTAGAGCATGTAGCTGTCCCCAAAATATAAGATAAAACCCAGAAAACCTTAAAGCAAACAAACAAGAAAACAAAACAAAACAAAACCTCTCCATTTCTCACCAAATCTAGAACAGTACTGTGTTTAAGTATCAACCACTGAAACACACCAAAACAGCTATACTCCAGCTGGGACAAGAAATTGCCTTCAGCAGTTCAGAAGTAGGGGTGGGGCTCTAAAGTATCACACCCTGCAGCTTTTCCACTGATTAGAACAAAATCCTTTACCATAATACCATTTCCTTATCTTGAAAACAACTCCCTTCCTAGCTTTACAACTACTTTTAAAAATCTGAAAATTAGCTTCTGATAAATTTTATCAGAGGTGAGTATATTAACTGGAATCATTTGCCAACTTGGTAGAGTGTTAAATTTCTAATTTGGAGCAAATCTTGCTATTCAGGTAAGATTTCTACCTGGTGCTGTGACAAAGAGGGATTCTACTTTCTGTCCCCAGGAGGAGAGAAAAACAGGGAAAAGAACACAAGAGAGACAGAAGAGGAAGCTAAGCTACCTGGAATAGGAGGTAAGGGCTCCAAAAACAGCTCCTGGTAGTGGCTGAGGCAGGAGGATTGAGTATGTAGCCAACCTAAACCACATACTGAGTTCCAGGGTAGCCTGCTCTATAGTACCAGTCCCTGTCTCCAGAAACCAAAGACAGCTCTGGAAACAAGTTGGTATTGTCAAGTAACCACTAAAAGAAAAGGCAAAGAAAGCAATTAGAAGATGGAACAATGTCAGGCTTGTCCTGAGAGAGACTGGGACATCTTCACTGGGCTCCAGGGTGAGCCTTGGGGAATTTTGCCAAGAGATATTAACACAGCCTGGGCTGAGTTCTGGACTGCCGCCAGCCCAGGCTCTCTGTGGTCCCGATGCTGCTTAGACTTTAACGTGCACCAGAACCAGCTGGAGTTCTTGGTCAAGTGCAGGTGCCAAGTCAGCAGCCTGGGCTGGGGTCTGAGATTCTGCATTTCCCACACCTCTTGGGCCATGCAGATGCTGCTTGTAGAGTCCTACACATGAGCAGCAAGTGTGGTGTCATTTGGGGCTTGGTGTCCTCTCTCTGAATGACTACTCAACCAGAAAAAAACCCACAGCCAAGACTTGAAAAATGCCGGGAGTATCTTAAGTTCAGAGGAAAAACTTGCTAAGAGAGTAACTGCTTGGAGACGTTTTTACAAAGTCCAGAGCCAGCTAGAAACCTGGTACCTCTTAGGAAAGTTAGCATCACAGTTGGGAAAAGCCAGAGCTCTGAGGCCTGAAGCAGCCACACCCTTGCCCCCCCCCCCCAAAAAAAACAAAAAAACACAAAAAAACGAGGGCAGTTTTGATCCTGACTCTATAGAGTTCCAAACTCTGGGCTGATGCTGTGCAAGGAAGAGAAAATGTCAAACGCTCCTGGAGGAAAGCAGGCGCCCCAAGATTGCATACGCACCTTCCACGTGCCCAAGCCCACGATAGGCATCTTGGCTTTGGTACTGAGCTCCACAAAGGTGGCCATGGCTGCTGTAGAAGTGGTTCTGAGAGAGCAGGTAGATGTCTGTGTCCCGGTTAAGGGGGCAGGAAGTTTTCTGTCTGTCCTAAATGAGGAGGCTGGCTCTTAACTGAATGAGCAAGCAGTGCTGCCCCAGGGCAGGAGCCCTGAAACAGGAAGTCCTTTTCAGTCTTTTCTGTGATTAAGTGATGTGAGTGACGATCAAACACTGGATAGTGCAAGGTCTCCCCAGTGCACAATGCATGAATTAGTTTTGGAGGTTTGTGAACCTAAATAACATACCATTTAAAATCCTCCAAGATGAATTAGTAAATTGATTTGGGAAGGAACTTTGGCTAGAGGATAGTGAGCCCTGTAGGTTTTCAAGGTGATTGAGGCAAGGAAAAGTTTCAGAGGCAAAATGAGCAGGCTTACAAAAAATATTTTGAGACAACTACTGTTGGCCATAAGGACAAATAGCAAACAGATGCCTGTCTGAAAATAAAAGACAGTGGTA